TATTATTTTTTTTTTTCACCGTAGTGTGCGCTGGTCAGGCCCTATCCCCTGGAGCCCCAATACATTCGTGAGGGCGCGCCAGCAATATCAACCAATGACCACTCCCCACACCGTGGGGTAACTGATCATTGGGTCCGAGAATCATGTCCCCTGAACAAGCGCAGTGAGCCAAGAATAACAGCCTTCTGCATCTGTGCGACTAAGATTTCTGCCTTAGTGCGGCAAGCCGGTATGATTTTAAGATTCGAGACTAGAGAGAATATTATTCCACCAAGGACTCCAATAATCAGAACAACCATCTTGACAGAGTGATCTGGATATAGTCTGTGGGGTTCGAAGAGAAAATCTCGACATTTTATCCGATTTTCCTCTTCTTTTCTGACAATATTCGTCTTCGCCAGGAGCTGGAAACTCCACGACAAATATCGTTTTAATCTGGTTGTCGAGAAGGACTACATCAGGCTTATTAGCTTGTATGAGCCTGAGGGAGGGGAACGAATAGTTCCAATAAATTCGGCACTTCTCGTTCCTCACAACGGATTCAATATCTCCTGGAGCGTAGGGCAACACAGGTGTCCCGTCAATACCGTGAGAGTGCCGTAGATGGTAATATAGCACTCTTAGGGCCGCGTTATGTCGATGGATATAAACCAAGACCGCATATGCTGGACATGCTGATAGCAAGTGCATTAGTGTCTCACCATCCTGGCAACCCATGATGAACTCCTCAGTTTCCGACTTCAGTCCACTCGACCTGAGAAAAGCGAACGTCAGGCGCTTTGATAAGCCAAGGTCTGCAATGTTCTTGAAGAGAACCCCATGCATTGGCTTATCCTTGTGTCTCCGCAGAAGTAAGGTGATCTCTGCGGCTTTTATCTAAGCTTTTTGCTGAACGGGTTCCAACTCGGTGACAGAGTTGTGGACACCTCGTTCAGAGTCGAAAACTATACCGAGTTCATCAGTTGCTCGGGCAGCTTCCCTAGAGAGAAATGCTCCAATTCCTGCTCTCATGGTCACGGACCATGCAGAGAAGAGGATCCGAACTTCTGACGACTTTACAGGCTGTATCCAGTACCATTCTGTCATGTAGACACTCCAAACTCAAAAGTCCACAGCCTCCCAGTTGTCGGGGAAAGTACAACCGTGGAACGGACGATTTGGGATGCAAACTCCTATAGAGATGAATCATTTTTCGGCTCTTTACGCCGAGTTGATACAGCTCCTCTCGAGTCCACTTCACTACTCCAAACGAGTAGAGTAAGATTGGACAGTCAAGCATATTTGTTGCAGCAACTTTGTTCTTCCCCGACAGTTTCGATGACCAGATCTGTCGAAGTTTGTGCTGATACTTGCCGCGGAGAGAGTTCTTCACTGCTGTTACCTCTTGTGAGTGGCGTTGTTCCACCCCGAGGTCAGTATACGTCTCTCCGGCATCCAGATGGTGTAGAATGCTTCCATCTATGAGCTGCACATCCTCTCCGTAGTCCCCGCATCGTCCTCTATTGAGATGGACCATTGCACATTTGTCAATCCCGAATTTCATACCGATAGCACCCTCAAGGACTGATGGAGATCCTTCTCTCCGGAGGCATAAAGTTTAAGATCATCCATATAAAACAGATGGATGACCTTGTGCCACCGGTTTCCGGGAGTGCCACAGTTATACCCTCGAGTATTTCTGAGCAGCGCAACGGATAATGGCAATAGTGAGATGCAGAAGAGAAGGGGACTGAGAATCACCCTAAAATACACCCCTTCTGAAAGTGACCCACCCTGTTTGGGCTCTTGCTTGACCAAATGTTATGGTGAAGCGAGTTCGCCAAAGTGGTATCAGTTGTTCAATGCATCTCACTATGTTGTCGGGTACCGCCTTACGGTAATCGATCCAGGCCATAGAGAGGTTACGCTTATATTGTATTGAGTCCTGCGTTACACATTTATCGATGAGCAGGTTCTCTTTACATTCAGCGACTCCTCTCTTCGACCCTCTCTGCTCCCTTGTATTATTATTATTATTACTTCATGGTGAAAATCAAAATGAATATCATTAGTGAGTTTTAATAACTTGTGAATAGCGTGTGTGTGTTTGTTCTGAAAAAATAAAATAAAACTCTGCATTAGACTAATGATGATATAATAAAATGTTGAGTTTATAATATTCTTTGTAAAAGTCTTTCAAAATGCAAATGTAATGTAAAAATAGCAACAATCCGTACCGAATACGTATCTGCACAAAAAAAGTATTAACACAAGAAATGAAAAATTAAAAATTAAAAGATTCCAAACCAAGTTACTTCACGACGTTTCGATTGTTAGTATCCACAATCGTCTTCGGGTGATAACTGGACTTCATCCTCAGAGATCTGACTTTTTATAGATCATTCGAGTGCTTCTACCTATCCCCTCTTCCCCCTCTCCGTTTCATCCGTTTTAGCGGAAGCTGACTATTTGGCGGGAGTTGGTCGTGTTCCGCTTGATTAGAGGTTTCTATATGTTTCTCTACGCAAGCTTGACTAAATGCGTTGTTGGCCTGGTTCTCGTAAGGCCTCACGAAAACCAGGCCACCAAACGCGGACTGTGATTCCAAGAATTGCATTTACCGGATACCTTGGGAGTGCGGAGAATCATACATCGGTGAAACTAAGAGGTCATTAAAAGTTCGCATTGTCAAGCACAAGAAACACACACAGTGAGGAGAAATCAGCAAATCCGGAATAGCGGAGCATGTTTGGACTCATCAACATAACATCAAGTGGGCTCAAACTGAAATCATCCACAAGGAGGAACACTGGTTTAGGAGAAAATTCAGAGACAAAAAACATATATGTTGTCCAACAACGCATTTAGCCAAGCTAGCGTAGAGATACGCAACATATAGAAACCTCCAATCAAGCAGAGCACGAACAACTCCCGCCAAACGGTCAGCTTCCGCTGAAACTCTAAGGAGTACCTAAGTTCAGTTATCACCCGAAGACGATTGTGGATACTAACAATCGAAACGTCGTGGAGTAACTTGGTTTGGAATTTTTTAATTTTTAATTCATTTTTTGTTAAAAACAAATTAATTTTCATCTCGTGTTAATATAATAGTTCAATTTTTTTTTATTTTTTGGTTGTTGCTTGTATTTTAAACATCAAAGCGTTATTTTTATAATGATTTGGAGCACTTTTTTGCTTAGACGGACAGAGTAAAGAAAATTTATTTTGATCTTGAAGTAATATGTACAGTCAGATGGAATAGTGAAACGCCGTCACAAAAAAAAAGAACCGTGATTGGCTCTTTATTCTCTATCTATGCATATTCCACTATATCGTGGAAAAAGAGAAAGTCTGAAAAGGTACATAAGTTTACAAGACGGCGCAATGTTTGCAAATAATGAGTAAGCGAATGAAAGAAAAGTTACAAATGACGAGTTCGGACGAAGGGAATCAAGAAAATGAGTTTTCCATTAGGGAATGAGTTGAAAAAAAGTAGGTAGGATTGCTAAGGGTGCAAATGGGCAAGTACGACACTGTCCAATCACGAAAAGATCGAGATGGTTCTGAATGAAATACTGAGGGTAGAGAATGTTCTAGCGGCCTCGAACTCTGAAAGAAAATCATGGAGTACGTGATGTGAGGAGGTTTTATCGAAGGGACCTCGTATCTCAATTCATAGTAACAGGAGACCAGCCTATAAGAGAGCTTCTCCGGGTGCATTTTCTTGAAGATTCAATGAAGAACTTGTGCTAACTAGTATATACGTACGTAAAAAAGGAAAAACAAAATAACTCCATGATATTGCAGTATTCTCCAGGTGAATCAATGATTCAGACAGCTCCCAGGTAGCAAAAAACCCATATTATTTTTCAGAAGCAAATAAAACGTGAAACAAAGTATAGATAAAGTATAATATATTTCATTAAAAAAAACAAAGTTTATTCAAATATATTTACAATGAAACAGATGCTTCAATTGAGTTATCAATGAAATTGGTGCAAAATGAATAGATCAGTTTTTTGACTTTGGCATAACTTCGAAGGGTGTTTCTTAATTGCGGTAAAGAATGTGAGGTCATGTTTAGAAGTTGATTCCATGAGAAAAAATCGTATAAACATAGTCCCAAAAATGCATTGTTTGCAAGACACAGGGTGTTACCTTTTTTTGAAAATTTCATTTGTATTAATATGAGAAATATCCCCCATCCCATTTTGGTGAGATCTGTTTCCAGTTATAATAGTTGAAGTCGGAAACATCAATTTTACGTCATGCCTAAAAGAGAGTTTTTAGGTTCGTTCTCAGTACAATGTCACTTCTAGAAAACTTTTAATCGCCAAGTGGTTATCAGCATGATACATGTTTCAATTATTTACTTTTATAACAGAACTAATCGGTTAACGATCTAGTTGGAGTATTTTAAATAGTGGGGAGAGCGAACCTTGAAACAGTTTGTTTTTATATAATTTCAGTTGAATTTAGAATATTGAGATAATCACTTGACACAAAATGGTTCTATCAATGGATCGGTGGAAAGGAAAAGTGGCCATTGTTACTGGTGCAAGCTCTGGTATTGGGGCTGCCATCGCTAGAAGATTAGTAGAAGAGGGACTTCAAGTGAGTAATAAAAAACATTGAAAGTTTCAATTCTCATTATTCATGATGATTTCCTACCACGTAGTAACGGCTACATCCATCAATTTAATAATATCTTCATCTGTCACGTTCGATATACTCGGTATGTAACCAAGTCTGAAATTATTATGTTTATAGTATGGAGTTTAAAATCCAAATCTAGATGAATTGAAATATGAAATAGAACAAATCCTATATTAAGTAGGATCACTTACCTATATTTGACAGCACAATCTGAAACAACCAGATCCATACACTCATATAAATGTGTATATTCATATTCAGTTGTTTGCGAGGAATTCTTAGACACAATAATATTTCTTATGTATTTTCTCTATCTCATATCAAAGCAATGCTGCCACCCTGTTCGATAGACTCTTTGATTTTTTACACATATCTTTGGTATGATTGGTACAATCCTATTCCCACGTAGACATCCGGTCCACCCCGGCCTTTAACCGTCGTGAATGGAGGTAGGTGTTATGTAAATCCACTATAGAACTCCCACGTGGACATCCGTTCCATACCGGCCTCCAACCGGCGTAAATGAAAGTGATATTTCTCTTTAAACACTTCCACAAAATATTTATTTTCATAGTGACACGTTCTATGACGGCGGACAATCACAACACAAACTAAGTTCCATCTCCAAAAATGGCGTCCACGTACCTTCTTTGTGAACGGTCGTCATCGGCACGTTTGTCCACCACCATATCAGAAACGAAACTGATTTTTTATGTCTTAGTGAAGTTTTGAGATCGTCGTTATTTTTTTGTTGTCTCTGACTCAATTGACTTCATTTGTTAATGGAAATTTATTTTCAATACAAATCATGAAATCATAAAACAACAGCAAAAATTAATTGGCGCTCCGGGGCGACTTCATTGATTCCAGTGGCGCATTTGCTTTTTCAGCTGCAGGAAAACCCGGAAAAACCTGCAGCACCACATCATACGAAGATCTTGATCTGCCAATGTCCTCTCTCTCATAAAACAAAATGTAGAGTTTCTCCAGAGGCTCCAATAAATTCAATACATTACCAGAACACTTAGTGACACGACTATCCTCAAACATAGACTGGAAAATACCATGTAGGTATTTGAGAATTGAAATGTAAGAATTTTTTTTAGCCTTAAAATTAGGACAACAGTTGCTAATATTTCATTTGTCCCTTCTAGGTTATAAAAACTTTCGAGAAATCTTTGCCTGCACCCCTAATAAGTTTATTCATGCTCATACGAACGTAGACCACAGCTTAGTTATGGCCGATTTCTATAAAGCAAAAATATAGCTATCATTTTTGTTTCGGCTTTTTTCATCTTAGAACAAGTATGATTTACTTACTCTCCAATTTAAATTAGAGTCTAGGTAGATTCAAAAGAATTTCATCATCATATTACTCATGATAGAAGATGAAGGTGAACTTGGAACTATTCAAAATAAACATGCACTGAATTTGTTGATTTTACTTTCTGATTTATTCTGATACAGTTAGCAATTATTGTTACATTTCCATCTGCTAATTTTGAGTTAGATCATAGACTTATAGAAGGAACATTGAGGGACCTAGCACCATGTCCTGATATACACCATATTAAATCTTTTTTGTCACTCGGAAATCTTGCTGTGAGTCACAAAACAGAGAAAAAAATCACTTCTGTTTCTGTTGACTTCACCATATAAGTATATGTTGAGATAATAATTGAAATTTGGCTCAATGAATTTGTATTGGGGAAAACTAGAATTAATATCATTGTTTGTGAGTTTATTTCATCCTCAATCAGAGACATATCTTACAAATAGTAGTTGAACCGTGAAATGAATAATCTTCGATTTGTTCAGAAGCTATCTAGAATATTCAGATTTTACTTTGTCACAGTTATTTTTCTTTCTTCTTTTTCCTTCGATTTCCAATAATACTATAACAATATAATAAGAAGTTGCCTATGAAATATGATTGTGTTTTTCGAAAATTTTTAAGTTGTTTTGTTTCTTTAAGTTTCTGTAGAAGTTTCAAGAGGTGAATGAGAGAGTAACCTCATCCTCTGACGTATAATATCAAATAATGTTGATTATTAAGTTGATACGATCTAAATAAGATCAGCTTTTATTCATCACCACGTCTAACTTCTTGTTATTTTATTGATATTCTTTAGAGGAGATGATTCCTACTATCTACTTTTCTATACTTATCTAATGAAATTCTCTCAGATAAATTATTTCAGGTTGTAGGTTTGGCAAGGAGAAAGGACAGACTAGAAGATTTGAGTAAACTGGTTTCTGATAAACCTGGCAAACTTTATTCCATTCAAACCGATATATCTAATGAGGATGATATTTTGAAGGCATTTGAATGGACGAAACGAAATTTAGGACCAGTCCATATCCTTGTTAATAACGCTGGTACAAATGTAACAGGTTCACTCTTGGATGGATCAACAGAAAATTGGAACAAAATATTCCAGTTGAACGTATTGGGCCTCAGCATAACGACACGAGAAGCTATCAAACAAATGAATCAAAGTAATATTGATGGACACATTATTCATATTAATAGCGTGTCAGGTCACCAACCCATCAGGATCCCGCGATTGGGTATGTACATGGCCAGTAAACATAGCGTGACATCTCTAACCGAGTCGCTTCGATATGAACTGGCTCTTTCAGGATCAAAAGTGAAAGTAACGGTAAGTTTTGTGCCATATGGTTCAAAAATATCTTGAAGTAATTGAACGAAGTGAGTTTCTCCAGAACAAGCAGTTTTTACAAACGCCAGAAATGCAATACTCTTCTCAAAGCGCATCTCACCAACCAAGTTGGCGTCCTCAAGAGATGAAGAATTTTTATCATTTTCGCGCGTCGAGAAGAGTATTGCATTTCTGGTGATTGGGATAAGTACTTGTTTTGGATTTATTCTACTAGTCGAGTTCACATGTACCATTTCCTTCTAAAATTTTTATAAAGGCTCCAAATATTACGATAAAGGTGTTATTCGATTCGTATTGTAACATAAAAAGTTTAAGGAACAGTTCGAAAAGGAGCTGAAGAAAATGGCAAAAGTTATAAACAAATTAATAAAAAAATTAGAGGTTTGATTTTTTTGATTATCTCAAAAAATATTCAAAATGTTTGAATTTTAAAAAAACATCCAAAAAGATCATAAAATTTGCTAAAAAAAAGTTTCGACTCCAGGACTCCAGGAACTGTATCTCTATTATTTACAATATTTACGGAGCCCTGAAACTAGAGCGAAAAACGGGTAGTAAGGCTTTCGCGCGGTGCGTCAATCTGACACAGCAACAAAAAATTTATTTATACATATCAAACATGAAAATTAGGAAATGAAAAAATTCATGTAGTTTTGGAATATATAAATAAATAATAATAATCCGCGGTAAAAAAATGTATCAAAATTTTTCCAATGATTATGCATTTGTTAATAATTAATTTTCTATAAACTGAAAGTTAACATAAAAACCATGATAATAAAGAAACTGAAACCCTAGAATTTTTTTCACTTCGTAAAGTTATCCTCAATAGGCTAACAAATAGATCGCCGTCCTAAGTTGAAGCGAAGAACAAAAATGAATCGGGAATCGGGCAAATTTCAGATATGCAGTTGGTTAGTACCTCGTCCACTAGATGGAGTGACATTTTTTTTGCTCGCTCCAACTTAGGACGAGGGATGAAATACTCTGGAAGAATTTTGATTTTCAATTATGGAGTTTCATTGACTTTAGGTCGATCATGGACACTATGTTGCACTGACGAGTGGCTAAGGAGCCCGAAACCGGTCTGCAAGTGTGCCCGTTCCAAAATTGAAGGTTGACTCTTTCAGTTGTATTGCCAATTGCATATGCAGGAAATTTTCTGTGAAGATTCCTGCACTGACGCCTGTCGGATATAATCCAACGCCGTTCGTGGTATTAACCAGGGGAGTAGTTGTTTTCTGATAGGCGTCAGTACATTCAACCTACTGTGTAGGTATATCCAAGACTGGTTTGAACATTTGAAGTTCATTTCTTTAGATTCATCCAAAATATATTCTAAAAATAGTCAATTATTTCTGTGTACTGAATAAAACCCATATTTTTCTCATGCCACTGTACTGTTTGAACACAATTGAACACAAATCCTTATTTGTTTTATATGTATATTCATATTATGAGTAGATATGACTTCCACCGAGAAAGTAAAGGCGATGACGTCTCCCTTTACAAATACGCCATGTATCAGATCGACATAAGATTCAATTCACGAGTATCAAATATAAACGAGGCTTCCCAAAGCAATACGTTGTAATGTCAAGCTTCGACGTTAATCGCCGAACAAGAATCGTTCTACGTGTTCCACTGCATGCTAATTTGGGTTCTGGTTTCAACGTGGATTTAATAAAATGAAGTATTGATCAAAGAGTGTGAATTTTCAGGACTGGATGTCACTGTGTAAAACTATTTTCGAGTTTGTCGACCGTGGTCTGTAGATTTTTGAGCCTGATGTTTCGTCTACTACTGCGATGCTTTCATAACAGTATCTGCTGTGAGAACAACCCGAGCACTTCCGTCCGGTGCCTCATCGCCTTCAACAATGTCTGCCGCAGCAGTAGACGAAACATCAGGCATAAAAACATACAAACCTCGGCAAACAAATTTGAAAATGGCTTTGACACAAATAAAATATTGTTTGTGTATATATCTTGTGTCTGTGTATATATTCTTGTGTTTTGTATACTATTAACCTGCTACTTTCCATAATCATTTCTAGTAACTATGCATTCAATTATCTATCAATTATCGGTTCTAAGTTCATCCATTTTCTCTCAATTCATTTAGCACTAATGATAATATACGTATCCATTATTTGTAGTGATACGCCGAATATTCGTTTGGTATTAGGCCTCTTTTTCATGGCTACACGACATGGTTTAGAACTGAAAGACAAAACTTCTTATGTGAGATTTATGTTATTTTGTAAGTCAAAGAAATCCATTGAAGAATGTGTTGATAAGGCTGATAAAATAAAGCAATTAAACTTCAAACGAACATTTATTTTTAAAACTAAAATCAAAACAATAATTATTTTCAAACTTTGATTGAAGTAACATTTCTTTCTGAACTTAAAATCAATATTGTTTCAAACCTCAATCAAATCAACATTTCACTCATTATCTTTCAATTATTTTTCACTTGCACCAGTTACCCTACCGGTATATGTGTAGTTGTCATAACTTGTCGAATTTATTTAAGCCTAAATGATTTTCCCGATTATACTTTCTGATAAAAATAGGTAGTGAACAGTTAACATCCTTTTTCATAGTTCGCACATCTCAGAAGCACAGCTAGATTTGCCAAACTGTACATCAATGACGATGATAGTGTTTCATTCAAAACAAATTTTATATCGATACTTTTCAATATATAATAAATACTTTGTTCAATGAAAAATACAGTTGATGAAATAAATTAGAGAAAATTATCCTCATAGAACTCTTCTAAACTATAATAGGGTCTACCACATTAATAAGTCTTTTAGTGACTTTCGAAATACACAGCTATCCTCTAAAATTTTAATATGGTCAGGTAAATGATTGAACATCTTGAGACCATTATAATATATAAAGTCTTTGACTAGAGTACAGGCTGATATAGGTTATCTTAGGTCGTTAGATTGACGAAGAGCATAATAATTGGAGTAACCGCTAAATATCAATTTATGTTTGTTAATCAAACATACTGTTTCTAAAATAAAGATATAAAGATTTCATAAACTGTCAAGATTTTATGTTATTCAAATAGGGGTTTGCAGGAGTCTCGACTTTTGGCATTACACATGAATCTTATAGCCCTTTTCTGAATGATGAACACCGTCTGCATTTGATTTTTGCAACATACTCCCCAGAAAGGAATTCCATACCTCAAATGTGACTCAACAAGTGAGAAGTAAGCCGATTTAACGGCAGACAAACTAAGATCCTTATATGTTATTCTCACTGTAAAATACCCTGAAGCTGGGTTTTTATTGAGGGTTGCAATGTGATCGGCGAATTTGAGTTTATTGTCAATTATTACACCCAAAAATTTAGTACTAGGTCTGTTTTAAATTATCGTGTCCGCGTCCTGTGTTGGTAAAGGAATGCTATCAATAAAGCAGCGGAATGATATTGAATTTGTTTTGGAAACATTGAAAGACAGCAGATTAGAGTCGCACCACTTTTTTATTTTTCTATATCTGCACTTATATTCTCGTGTAGATTACATAAAGTTTTATCACGCCACAATATTGTGGTGTCATCAGCAAATAGGGTGAATTTTCCTTTTATATCGATATATGCTGAATCGTTTATGCAAAGCAGGAAAAATATCAGTCCCAGTATTGAACCTTGTGGTACGCCATCCTTCTGATGAGGATGATGAGGTTTTCATAATCTGACTTCTTCTTGTGGGATAATTTTTGAACCACTTGTGAGTAATTCCACGGATGCCATAGTGATATAGTTTTTTCAGCAGTATTCCATGATCTACACAGTCAAAGGCTTTAGAAAAGTCACAGAACACGCCTGCTGATGACTCTTTTTATCAATATTTCCATAAACGTCATATAACAAAGAAAATATAGCATCATGGGTCTTCTTTTTTTATTGAAAGCCGAACTGGTTGTTGCTTATGACCCTATTATTATTTTAAAAAATTGTCAATCTTAATTCAACCAGCTATTAGCTTGCCTAGAGTGGGAATGAGACATATAGGACGGAAGTTTGAAGGATCACTGAGATCACCACCTTTGTGCAATGGGATAACTATTGATTTTTTAGGCAGGAAGGGAATGTTCCGGTCTTGAAGGATGAGTTTATTGCGAACGCTAGAGCATTTAATGGGGTATCAGGAAGGTTAGCAAAAATGATAATTGAAATTTCGTCTATTCCCGCGGCCTTTTTATTTTTAAAAGATTGAATTATTTCTTTAAGCTCATTTGCATCAGTAGGGTGTACAATGCAGTTATCAGCGATCCATATGTTCTCTAAATGAGTCAACGGATTAAGAGAAGTTTGTATGTTTTTTGTTAATTTTTCTGCTATAGAGCAATAGTAATTGTTCAGTATGTTTGCGTTTATTGGTATATCAACTTGATCTTTCCTTTGTTTTCCTCTAAAATCATTAATCATGAATCACATATCTTTTGATTTATTGGTTGCTTGCAAAATTCTGCTTTTATAGTAGATCTTTTTTGAGCATTCAATTACTTTTCTATAAGTAGTTCTATATTTTTCAACATAGGTATGAAAATATATACTATTCGTGAAGTTTTTTATATAATTAAGTGATTTCATTAGTCTCGCAGAAACCTATATGCCCTTTGTAATCCAGTGTGTCTTTTTCTCCAGTTCAATTCTTTGATAAGGAAAAGATTCATCAAAAATGTTTTTTATTTGGGAATATAAAACAGAAAGGGGTTCATTTTGCACTTCTAATATAAAATTCCAATCAGCATGAAGTCATCCGTGGCAGAATCCATCATAATTCCGAGAGTTGAAGAGTCGTCCATACTTGAATTTCCTAGTTTTCATAACTGAGTCAATCAATATTGTGACCTGAACCGCCTCGTGGTCGGAGAAACCAGGAGAAACATATTGTGTAGCTTTTCTATGAATTTCTGTTTCGATTCCATAACGAATATGTCAAATACAAACTGAATAGGAAAAGTGATTTTCGTACAATTCAATGTTCATATGAAAGTAGTTGTACCGAAATGAGTTTTTCTTTCGTGAATCAGCGTTCATGAGAACGTAGACATTTCGAAGGACCTTTTTTCGTTCATTCTAGATGTGAAATAATTTTCTATGCATTTTCTACACATTTTTCTAAAGAGTTCATTCTGAATTCAATTGATTTCTTCCTTCTATGGAAGTTTCCTACATGTTTTGTATAAAAATGGCAAAGTAAAAAGCAGACGAGCTTTTCTCCCCAAACTGCCATATATTTACTGTAATTGCATTAGGATGTGGATATCTTGTATCTACTCTAATTTTCTTGATATAGGCGATATCTGTCTTCTTATCCACTCGTAGAAGTATCTTACAACTACTAGTCCATTTTATAAACATTTCAATTCGTGATGGGTATCAAGAACTTTCGAAGTTTCGAAGTTTTTCGGCATTTATGAAGCGCTTCGAATTTTCATGGCAGTTTACCCATTTCAGGTTAAACCCCATCCTGTTGAAGAATTTCGCAGTAGAAGCAGATATGTTTTTCAGCCACCATCTATAGTCATTTCCAATTATGGAAAGTATTCTGAAAAAAATGTTAAAATCTCCACCTGTTTTTTTGAATGACAAAGCTTGTTGTTATTTTATCCACTCAGTATGTAATCAGATGTATGGAATCTACATCTTTCGAAAAGCTTTCTCCTAGAAATTTCATAGAACGATTTATTGAATTCCTTTCTTTTTAGTGGTTTGAGATATAAATAGTTCCTGGTTGTAAAAAATGAAGCACAACTATTTAATCTGTCTACATGGTTTATTATAGATCCCAGAGATTCTATGTTCCAATAACGAATTTGATATTTTTTTTATATTCTATCACACAATAGTCCCAATAAAAGCACATCATCAAGGTATTATTAATATTTTTGAATGCAAAAAATTCAATATTGATTTGAATATTTTTATAAACACCAATAAAGACTTCAAACTGAGAGGTGTAAATTCATACATGTAATGTACAAAAGTACATCAGATATTTACGTAATAAACAATGGCACCAATTACAATAATACCGGAAGTCTATCTCAAAATTATTTCCAATTGGACGAAACGTTTTATTCATGCAGTGAAGGACTAATAATGGGTAACCCGTTAAGTTCTTTGCTGGCTGAAATTTTTATGGATAACATAGAGAATGAAATTCATAATAATCAATAAATCCCTGGCTATGACTATTACAAAAATTAATAATAAACATGATTTTGCAATTTTCCACAAACCATCTCGTACAGAAATTGTCATACATAATTCCTTCACACATACCCTTACCAACATGAAGTAGCTGCATTCAATAGTCTTCATAGACTATTAAATATTCCAGTGTCGGAAAGTAATTTTCAGAGAGAGCTGATTTTCATCGAACAAATCACTGTCAACAAAGGTTGTAAGGTAGATATTATCGAATCCATTCTTTCTGAATAAACTACAAAAACAAGCTATGGACCAGGTCTACCCAAATTGAAAAAAAGATATTTCTTTTTTTGAAAAAAGAATACTTGGACGTGGCTTACAGAACGAATAATAGTTCAAGACAAAACTTCAATTGGGATAGATGAGGAATATATAAGTTTACTTGTGAGTATTGCCCGAAACTTTAACTCCAAAGGGAGTAATTTTTTCCAATTAATAAAAGAGCATATAAGAAGTTTCATGAATGGAAAGATCAATTCCACATTCGCAAATTATCTTTCAGCAGAAGGATATGAGTTCAATCATGAATGTTACGTGTTACATTCAGAAGAATAACTCCTCGTTACTGAATATTTTTTCAAATGTGTGCATGAGCTCAGGTCATTTCATTCATTATAAACTCAGGTATATATTAAAATTAGGTAAAACTCAGGTACTTGAAATTTAGGTACTTCAAATTGTAAAAAATATACAGTGCTTTTCTTTAATGTCCCCCCCTTTTATTTTTTGAACGGATCAACTCAAAAAATTTAAATTTGGGATAATGAAATTATTGCATGAATACTTTATTTTGAAGTGAAATAGATAGATGAAACTTTCAAGATGGCGACTGGGCGCCATCTCGGAAAAAAAAATTAAATGGAAAGGGGGGTCCTGTGACACATCTTTTTGAAGCTCCTGACAAATGCTTCACAACCCAAGAATATAATGTTAATATCTTCAACTACTCAAAATGGCGGAAGTTTTAATAATTGCCTGAATACATTGACATTTAACTACATAATATGAAGTAATAAGCTTGAGGTCACTTCAAAAGATGCTCGAAATGGTTGCCTTGAACTTTTTGACAAATGAACAGCCTATCCGATATTTCACGCCGAACACTTTCGAACACAGTAACGTTCAGTTTCGTCCAAAGGTGTCAAATCTGGCGAGCGGGCTGGCCATTCTGTAGGACATCGACGGCCAATCCAACGACCGGGAAAACTAGTATCCAAATAGTTTCTTACTTGTCTGGAGTAACGTGGTGATGCTCCATTTTGTTGGAATACAATATTCATATCGAATTCATTAGGATTCGCTTCGACGATTTCAGTGAGAGGGTCAACAGTAGTTTCCAGCATATTCAAATACAGTTCCCCTGTTGAATTTTGATCAATAAATAGAGGTCCTGAGATATGGTTTTCCAATATTCCTGCCCAAACGTTATTTTTTTCTGTATATTGGGTATCTGTTTCCCAGAAAACGTGAGGGTTGGTGCCACTCCAATAACGGCAATTTTGTCTGTGGACATTGCCTTTAAAAAAAATGTACATTCGTCACTGCAACAAATATTGTAGAGAAATGTAGGATGCCTTACAATGGTTTCCGTCATGATTTCGCAGAATTCTGTTCTTCGATCAGAGTCATCTTCAGTTAATTGGTGTACCTTTTAATTTTGTATGGATGATACCTATTCCTCTTTAATCTCCATACATTAGAAGGAGATATCTCACAAACATTCGCGACGGAATAAGTAGACTGTTCAGGATTTACTACCATCCCACCAATTATTTGCACTTGCTGTTCTTCCGGAATGGACGGATGACCTGGGGGCTTTTGTACACTACCAGTAGTTGTGAATTTGGATACAAGTTCCCTCAAATATTTTCTACAGATAGGACGATTCCGAAAAGTTCACTGAAAATCCTTTCGTTCTCGTGAAAGTTACGCGTCGGCGTTGCACCGTAAATAAAAATCTCCCAATGGAGGAGAATTGACCATTTTAGAGATTGTTGACGTGGTACTTTTCTATTAGTGAAACCGAAAACTGAATGAGAATATTCCAACTGAACAATGATGTTTATTGTCGTACTGACATTTTTTGTTGTTTTTATAAACAAAAAATAACTTAACAAACCTTATCAGATTGTTGGAATTGCCATATGGCAGATAAAAATAATTTTTTATAGAAATATCGATATTAATGTGTTTGTCTTCAGGAAATTATTAAATGTAGTAGGTGAAGATATTGACTTCATATTCATGTGTCAGAAGACTCCCCATTTATTTTTTTTTCCAGATGACGCCCAGTCGCCATCTTGAAAGTTTCCTCTGTCAATTTAGTTAGTAAAAACACGCCTGAAGAAGCCATTGTATGGCGAAAAACGTTTTCCATTTTTGTAAAACTGTTTAGTAGTGAAAATCAATTATCGGTCGATTTCATCAAATTTACCGGTACTCAGTCATCTGAGAGAAATCATAGATATATATTTCATAATCCCACAGATAATTCAATACCACTAATCATAAATTAGTGATGTGGATCATTTAATAATACATAATTATTGGTAAAATGAGGAAAATATAATTGTATGTTTATAATACTTGTCTTCAACAAAAATATTTTTCAGAGTATAAGTCCAGGTTTAGTTGACACCGAAATGATTTCTAACAGAAATACGGAAGTTATTAAAAAAATCATCGAAGATAAAATCATTCTCAACCCTGATGACATCGTAGATGGATTGATTTATGTATTGTCAACACCACCGCACGTACAGGTAACTTTTAATGGATTTCACTTGGATATTTTCATTTTCCCATAATTATTATTATGTAAAATTGGAAAATATTGAATTCTGAATCTGTTGAAGCTCAAAAGAAGATCTGTAGAACAAAAAATCCAAAACAAACTTCTCAACTTGGAGAATGAAATCAATTGCATTATGCCATTTTCTCAAAGTTTGTATTCTTACCCAATTTATAACCGTCATTTAGATACAAGCGCTACCCTTCAGTTAGCCTTGAGAATTTTAATAGTTCTTAGGTATATCTAAAAAGAAATCTACGTTTTGGCGTTTATTCAAAGTCAGCAAATATACATAAACAATTCAATAATTTTGTTGACTCAATTCTGCTACCACATATTTCGCTCATCATTCATTATTTGCATAATTCACTAATCAGTGTGAAGTGAAAACTGCGTTAATTAATGTCACAAAAATTAACAATTCTCCAAAAATAGAGTTCGAGTTTAACCTGGAATGGCTGCTTTAATTTTGTATTGCCCACTATATCCTGAATTGCTGTTCCATTCACTTGTTATGCAATTATTTTCAAAATTATTCATCTCATTCATTACAATTGTATCACTTTCATCATGTGGAGTTATTAACACTGAAAACAAATACTTCAATTTTTTTCAGGTACATGAACTGATGATACGCCCTGTCGGAGAGTTATATGGTTAGAAACGTGCCGATGATGAAAGAATAAAGAAAACAAAAATTATTGTAATGCGAGATATAATATTAAAATACATCATTTCAAAATGCATCAAAATTTGCATGTTTTTTTGGTAACTATTGCTAAGATGTTTCCCCAGTAGCCAGACAAGTTTTAGTGCCTGACAAGAAAAACTTGAAGAGTAGGTAGTTGACAGGTCATTCATAACGTAAGCTGCCAAAATTGAGACAATTTTTTTTGCTCCCATAGTAGTTCCAAAAGTTTGTTTTTCAACTTCTTCATGAACAAACTTTGAGATATGTATTACTAGTTCTTGCGCGCGGCTTCGTCCGCGTGGAATTTGGTTTCTCACATTAAGTTTGGTGACAGACCATTTTAAACAATTAGTTACAATAATTTTTTTATCGACCCAAAACTTCAGGTTTCCAACTTCAAAACTGACGAAATGCATTATAATCTTTGAACCCCAATTTTTTCCCCTCGAGGGCGGAAATTCCTGATTACCTTTCTTAATGCTAATTTACATTATACAAAAAACTTACCTGCATATTTCATGATTCTAGGTTCAGTAGCTTCGACTGAAGGTTAATATAAGAGTGTCAGTCAATCAGTAAACACAGAGCGAAGTCGAGTAACTATGTGGATGTAGTATTTGTCATTTGTGGAAGACGAAAAATAGTGCAAACAAAACCTCTAAAATATTAAGTTTATATGTGTAAATGAAAATGTGAGAAAAATTCGAAATGAATTGTAATAAGACATACATATCCACAAAAAACCTTTATGAAGGTATATTATACCCGAAAAAAATAGGGCATCACGGAAACTTGCGTCAACAACAGGGGGGTAGAGAAAACTCGTCAGGTTTTATGTGAATGTAAGGCACACGAGGCAAACAATTTATGAACAACCCAAGTTATGTCGAGAAGAACGTGAAAACATTCAATAACAATCTAATATGGAAAAAAATATTATTGTAATGGATGTCAAGAACAGATAGAAATATAAACGTAATAACCCCATGAAACCATACTACTTTTCGGAGACTTTTGAAAGAGTTTGTCGGTTTCCTGGGAGCCCTTTCCTTTTTATTTTGTAAGTAAGACAATATATTGTCATAATTTCAGTTGGAATGGGATCCTGAGAATAATTCATGTTTCGACGATACTTGCGAAATAAGGGTTTGTGACATGACGATAGAAAATATGGGAATAACATCTGTTAGTTTGATTCCTAGGTCAGTTACTAATTGATACAGTTTACTATATGATTTTCACTAAAGGGTTTTACAAAAACCGCAACACGTATTTCGCTATACAATAGCTTTCTCAAGCATGAATTGCAACTTTTAATTTTGAATGAAAATCATAGATTTAAGTGTAATAATTAGTTTTAATGTGGATTTTCATCAAGTATCGACCAGTTCTATTTAATCATCGTGTTCTTTTTTCATATGTTGAATTTGAATCCATCTAGTTGAATTATATGGTACAAAATTTTAAAGTGTAAAAATTATTATGGAAAATTATTTCATTAATTGTTTGTCATTGATATTAGGTGAACAAAAAAATTCTGCACTAATCTATCATTGAAATTATAATTATTCACAGGCTAATGATGATGAGTAAATATATGTCTTGCATGTGTCTACACAATTTTTCATCTCTGCATCTCTATATTTTTCATCATTGTTAACACAATTATCAGATTGAATCCCCTAACATTTTCAGCTATATATTTTCAGCAACTGTATATGTTAGTTTATTTCAAATTATCTAACTGAATTGAACCGCTTTTATATAGTATAAATGTATTGCCGAATATGGCACGTTTTTCAAATTCGTGGAAAAGCTGCAGAACAATATAAAAAATAACAAATCAGTGTTATTTGCCTTCACAGCGACAGCTTTGGAACATGGACAATACAGCCCTTTACACATATAACAAAAGGACACATTTTTCAATACGCTCCACAAAGTGACTTTTCCCGGGCAACACCCTCCATTCATCCACTCCAAACATTAAAAATATGCTGGGCAAATAACAGGACAAAGAGCGAGACAAAGATCGTGCTTTTATTTTCTATTATCTCGAACCTATTCATTTGCTACATCAAAAAGTAAATAATTTCATTATACTTCTTTATTTACCTCGCCCCATGAGCACCCGGTAATTCCTACATCGTCGTGATGAATCTAATAAAACGACGTTTATGAAGACTTCAATCAAAGCCTTCTATCACGTTTCGGTTATACAGACATTGGGGAGATTGTAATTTGCGCTCAGTCTTAAAGGGTTCCCCATTTCAATTTAACAATTTATCTGAAACAATTATAGGGTGCGTTAATGCGCCAACGGAGCATTTAAGATACCAGACAACCTCTCAGAATACTTCTTAGACTCACATCTATGCAGAGAATTTCATGGATGGAAACATTCCCTACTCATGAAAACTGACTCATAATCCTACATCCGTACGTGGATTGCGGCGGTCCTCACGAAGGTTTTGGGAGAAATTCGATATTTGCTCTCTCACAACAACCCTAGTCCCAAGAGAAATTTCATTTGAGACATCAGGAAGAGAAAAAAATACCCTCAAAGCTCCGAATAAATATCTAAAAAGGATCAAATATACTATTGTCTGCTACGATCTTGAATCAGCGTAACCCTTTCACCACTATAGTTCGGAACTGCCACCAACAGGAATGTGAAAAAGCTAGTGAGGAACTGGCAAATCATACAGCTCGTAGCTCATAATTGGCTGTGAAATCAGTGCACAACTCCACAATATCACTGGAAGTAGTGAACATTTACCACAGTTTGTTTTAGCAAAAATAGGTGTGATTCTACCTCATAAAAACGAAAAATGACGCAATAATACATGTATTCACAAGAGACATGTCTGATGAGGGATATTCGGATTATCGGCACATGAACTTTGAAGTCGGACGGTCCCATACTTTCATCACAACCCGTTGAAAGCAAATTATGGACAGTGTAAGTCAGACCTACAAATTTGCTCAGACTGGTTCTTTAGACTTGATATAGCAGCCCTACCTATGATTTATAGTGACGGCGCTGGCGCTGAGAAATACAGATGTTTTGTTCTAAAGTGATCAAATAATAGGAGTGTTTCCTGATGTAGGTAATATACATATGGCATGGATGAGAAATCAGGGACTAATATAAAATGACCCAGAAAATCTAAGAGGAATATGGATTAGACAATGCAAGGAGGTTGAATAAAGATATTCTCAGTAATAAATATGGCGTCGGACCTGAAAACAATTACTTCAACCAGTTACCAGAATCAGGTGATATTCGTCCAGTAAGCAATGCTACAAGAATGACTGGAAATTTCAATCCAAAAACTGTGTGTCTCCTCGAAGCAAGTTTGGCTTTGGAACACAAACCTTAAACAAATGGACTGATTGAAATAACTTCAATTCCGAAACCTCTGAATGAAATAATTCAATGAGGGTTTTGAGACCAATCACTCTCATGTCATTCGCAATAAAAACTTTGAAAAACTAACTGGGCATATTAGAGAGTTACCACTGGCTAACAAACCACTTCAACAGAAACAGTTTGTCGTGTCGTGGAAAAAATATAATAATATTACAAAAACAATATTGAACTTTTAGCTGCTCTCTTCGATATTGAGGTCGACAATATGTCCTTAGAATTAATTATCCAGGTGCCGAAGACAAAGACAAAGTATAGCTGAATTCGAATAGACTGCACGCTGAGAAAATGTTCGTCCTTTATAATGATGGAATTTCATTTTTTCCAATGTTCAATAATAAAATTAAAATTCCTAGTTGATCCCCGCGCTGTGAAGTGCCGATTTCCAACTGTCAATAAAATTACGTCTTGTTGAATATTTTAAGAAACCGTAGGTCTACCATCCATCAATCCATCACTCACACATTATAATTATTTGTATTTTTGCTCTATTCTTTCAATGGTGAATTGTGAAATATGTTTTGTTTACGATCTTCGTGTATTTCAACGATTTTTTATTATGGCCATAGCAATAATAGCAATACGTAATTTTGTTTCATTCTTATATTTTGTTTATTTCTCACCTATTATTTGGTAAATAACTTGGGATTTTTGTATTGTTGCTTGCTCGGATAATTAGAAAACAACTTGAAATACAGTTATGGCATCAAATCAGCAAGATAATTCAGGAAATAAAAAAATTGAATGTTTCATTGAAACTAAACCAGTGACTACTCGAAGGTAATTCACCTTTTATATTATTATTTTGAAAAATAACAAATCAACCTTTTTCGGAAATTTTCCATAATATTGCTCATTCAGATCATGATGAATTCAAGCATTGCTTTTAGGACGCACTGAAAGCAATCAGCAATCAATAGTAGTATTTCAAATTCATCTGATATTGCTATCACTTTATTATATATTTTTTGAATGAGATAATTGACAATCGTCATATAAGTAATAATTTTGGACTAAGAACAGTCCACTGCTTTTTCCCTCAAAAGAAAAATAATAACCCCTTAGACCACTTTACACTGCCCTTTTCCAATACGTAGGTGAAGTACGTGTCAGAGGAACTTAATAAAATCACAGTATGCTTAGACGAATGAATAGAAGTAACCCTAGTAACCCGATACTCGAACAATCGGCAGTGGGTTGCCAGTCAAGGGTGGCTTGATTTTACAATCCCCAATTAGAAGGCGTACGTTTAGCGATTAAAGCCCATGTCATGTGAGTAATCTGGTAGATAATATTATTATTTGGGTTGACGGGTGAATATTCGGGTAAATAAGGTCTTTCACTGCTTAATTTGGAATAAAAATTCAATTAGTGAGTTGATAGTGCGTGCAATTTTGTTTTCTTTAGTTGAATGAGAATTTATGAATGTATCTGGGGTCTAGTGCATTGTTGATGGAAGTATTGTTGGTGTTACTTTTCTACGCTCCGTTATTACAGTTTGGATACAGTAGTTCCATTGAGATTTTCCTGATGCAAGCGTGATCCTCGAAAACCGTCTTTATATAAAAAATGGTTATTGTATTAGCGAATAGATATATTTGATAACCAGAAAATATATTGAAAGAATAACTACGAATATAGACCCACAAAGAGAACTAATCTCTGTGCGTGATGTAGGGAACACTTCCTCTACTAGACACGTAGATGGGGGACACCGTAGAGGCAATGTTCTCTGTTAATAAGAGTCCTATAATGAATAGCAGAAAATATTTCAGCTAAAAAATTTCAGCATTCAGTTGGGTTCTTGTTATTTCTTCTCAGTCACCTGACAAATGTCTCTACAAAATAATAGGGCTCACTTGAGTAAATTGAGTAAATTACACTTGAGTAAATTACAAAATGAAGAATATCCTTTCGAAACAAGTATTTTCATATGAACATTCAGTTTACCTATACCTATACAAATATTCGTTATGGAACGTTATGGAACATAGGAACGCTACAAAATGTTCAATAGTTTTGATATAAAATGTCATTAACATGGAACAGTATCATCCACAATGGTATAATTCGCAGTTTCGGGACAATATACTTGTCTTACCACCGCATCAGCATCGTGCTGGATATCATTCGAAGCACTCATTTCTTTATGTGTTTAATGTCGAAGAAGTAGAAAGGCAAAAACTTCTGAATTTTTTTTTTCAATCGAATGAAATGTCTATCTCTAACCATATGAATGTGAATACGTAGTTTCGAAAATATTTTTTCTTTTTGTAATTCGATCTTCACGTGAAAGTAGTTGTTTCGACAGGGTTTTTTCCAATTTGTATCTGAAAGGAACACTCGTGTATGCATTATATATCTTTAACAGAGTTTCAAGTATAAATTTTCTTCTTCCTTTGAAAGTTTTCCACATTTTTTGTTCAGATGATCGGAAAGTAGGAAGCCAACAAGCTTTTTCCCACCATTGAGATATTTTGTCAAAATTCAAATTATAATCAGAGGAAGGATGAATAACGAATAACGATAGTAGTCAGGCAAATCCTGAAAAAATGATCGATTAGAACTATACAACTTGAATTATCATCACTGTAGTTCATTCGATAATGTCTGAGAGTGAAAGGATTTTAAGAATGAAAACATGCTTGTACATCAAAGAAAACAACATAATCGTCTTGAGCAAGTGGCACTGAAATTCATCCACAAAGTCAGAGATATTTCCACCCGCTATGCCCCCGAGGACGCCGCTAAAAAGCCATTGAAATAGTGACTGGCGACAAATAACTTCAAAAGAGGCGACTGACGCTGTATGTCATATTGCGTTGAAATAGTACTAATAGACGTCGGACTGGGGGTATTAATGTAAATTTTCCAATTATATATTCTCTATGATGCGAAGATAATTGAAATATCATGAAAACTAATTTTGTTTAAATACTTTATTTTTAGGAGGACAATTAATATTTGAAATAGTTTTTTATTTAGGATTGTTACCTTCTACATAAATTAGCTTTTTTGAAGAAAAATCTAATTTGTCAGTATTTTGAATTTACAAAATTCTGTATATGAAAATAAGAAGACAATCCATTTTCAAGATATTATAATTTGTAGTTATAATTCGTATTTTGATGTAAATCAATTTGATATTATTATTATTGACACTGATAATATAAAATTGATCATAGGTTTGGTAATGAAGATGGAAAAAGTCTCCGAAACATCAACAGATAAGTATACAAATACAATAGGTTTCCCCTGTTAGAAATTTGAATATCTGAATTTCGGGTTGAACCGTTCGAACCGTTTTTCTGAAGATCAATAGATACTGAATGAATTTCTCAATACTGTCTGTTGATGATCTTGAACTCATTTTTGAGCCAAAGACTTCAGTGTGCTTATAATAATAAAATCTCGAATACATTGCATAGTGTCACAAGATCTTATTTTCTACACTTGCTGCCCGAATGAAAGTTTGTATTATTTTTCAAGGAAATGAGGAGATTTGTCATCTCTTCCTCTCCAAGGTTATTCTTGTCAGAAGGGTTCAGATGATCAATTCATGACCCGACCAGCGCTCTGTGGTTTAGAATCGTTAATGCTACTCTTTTAGGATGTGGAATCATCCCATAATACAAACCAGGTACCTACCTGCCAATATTCCAACAAGCATAGGACCGTCTCTTTCTGGCCTGGCACCATATAAATCTAAACACCTCAAATGACTTTTTTTCTCATACAAATTATAGAAACTGAAGGATTTCATTTCAATTGGTGCAGCACACCTAGAAAAAAGAGCATATAATATCATTAAACTACATTCCAAAAGGGTTGAAGTTGAAAAATGTTCAACAACAACAGCATTTTCAGTTATTTATGTTGATTCCCTACAAAATATATAGCATATTGAAATATTATGACTTTTTTATTATGGATATCCACGTAACTAGTATATCTACTTTGAATCACAACTTATTCATTATCTGAACGTGCTCGACAATATTTTTTATCAATTAATGGAGGTTCTCACTCCATTGTCAAAAAGGAGCGGGGAAACAGACAACGGTACACTACACTGGAAAAGCGGGAAATTTGGAAAAAGATAGGGAAAAGCACGTCCAGTTGATTCGCAAATAACTCTTGAGGTAACAGCACTGAGCCAGTCAACACCCGACAATTTTCGTTAACAACAATTGAAATGTCGTGCAGTAGCTTGGTTTGATGTTTTTGTAGTTTTTTCTCATTTTCAGTATCAATTCACTTCATTCCTTGACATTTTCCTAATATTGACTTTTTGCTTATGTCATTTTTTTTCTTATGACTTCATTCATTTCATATGAATTTCAGATCACAAAAATTTGTTTATTTTCACCAATTAGTGTTCTTATTCTTTTCCATTACATATTCATTGTCTGTCTATTTTCTTATATTTCTTCATTGCCAGATTTTCAATAACCAGTTTTACTAACACGTGTTTCGCTATACTTTACGAGTAAAGACACGTGTGAAGAAGCTAATATATAGCGGAATGCGTGTTGCGTTTTTGTAAAACTATGTAGTGAAAATCTCACAATGAAGTCTTTCTTGAATACAATTAATACTTTTATTTCAAATTTTTCAAATAGCTTTTGAAGGCAAGAGAAGTTAGAACTCTAAAAAACTCGCTGAGACGATATTCATTCAGCAATGTCTAATGTGTATTCAGCGGTGAATTTACTCGTTGATTCATATGAACCATAATTGATTATAAAAGGTCATCAAACTTCGCTGAGTAAATTCGAGTATCGAAAAATACTACAAGGTTTAGGTTAATGGAAATGGAAAATGTTGAAATTGTAAAGATAAAAAGCAGTTTCATTGGAAGTAGGAAAGTATCAGAAATGCTTGGGATTTGGACATAAACAAGCATCAGAGGACCTCTTGTCCCAGAGTCACCAGAAAGAGACTCTCGTGGATTTTGAACAAGCCTAAGGCCGATCGTATTTCATCTCGCACGATCAAAGCAGGGACAACCTCATAATGAGACTTCCGGGCCTACGTTAGTTATATTAGCACCTTTATCTTTTGTTTTGCGTTCTTTGTGAGTCGAGTGAGGCTTGGAGAGTGCTTAAAACGATAAGGTCGAGATTGTGAAGCAGAGGACACGTCGGATGCTGGGTACTCAAGTTAAGTGACATCTTTTAGTTTTTACTTCTAAATTGTCGAGCAAGGGGACGAATGTAAAGTGGCTTGTCATTTTCAGATCTGAAAAAACTCCTAATAGGGGAGAATTGACGATCGTGGGTGGAAATCAGTGAAAGCTAATTGTTCTTCGAACTGGATAACACAAGAAGTTGTATTCAGATTTGTTGAAATTATTAATATCCTCATTCAGCTTACTCAGAATATTAATCCATTTCAACGTACATTTCTACGTGCATACAGTTTTGTATGTTTTCAAAAATGATTTTGGTATCGTTTTCTCTGCTCTCATCATCCCTAGGTATAAATTTTTGCATAGCAGTCGCGTATTTCATTATTGACTACCAAACTACAGAAGCATATGTTATGATCGGTTCAACTCCTAAGGTTATTCATAGATGCGGCTATCAATGCTTACTCCTCCATTTTATCTGAAAGTTGGGGCAGGTCAGTCTGGGATCTAATTTAACTCCCAGATATTTAACCTTACCTGATAGTTACTTCTTCTTCCATTGGAATTGTGAAGTCAAGTTCCTTCTCTCTTGATACTTTTGGTGAATGCTACTGTGGTAGATTCGAATGGGTTTCTATTGAGCTCTCTAGCATGGGGCGATCCGTCACTATATTATTATATTTGCACCGGATTAAGGTCCACTGGATTGAGGCGTTAGTTGCTAAGTGTTGTGATGAATGAATTAGTTTGTGATTATTGAAATATTGTTGGAAATTAATTTGTGTAAGACAGTTAATTCATTAATTTGTCAAAATTGGTGTCAGAAATGGGATTTGTAAAATGCATCTGTGAGCGCTTAGTGGACAAACTTTGTATTGCGGGGAAATTGACTATAAGACTATTTGTTCGCGTAGAGAGACTGGTAATTCGTTGTGTTTCACGAAGTGGACAGTACCAGACTACGGAATTATAAACTGGTAAACCTTCATCGCGAAAAATAGATTTGTGAAAGTAAATAAGTGTTTTCAGACTCGATTAAAACGAGTGGATATACTCAGTTTTGTGGAAAATAGACAATAAGAGACAAAATGTGTTCGAGGAAAGTGTGCCTAGCGGACTTGAAAGTCGCCGAATTGAAACAAGATTTGGTGGAGAGGGAGCTAGATTGTTCTGGAAAGAAATCAGTACTCCATAAGAGACTGTGGGATAACTTGACTGAATCAGGAGAAGATCCCGAAACATATATATTCGATGTTTCTGGGGGTAATTTGAGTTCAATAATGAGCAAACTCAATTCTCATTGAGTTTGCTCACGAAATCGCTGGAAGATGAACTTCAACAAAATTCGAAGAGTTTGGAAGACAAGCTTCTCGAAAATTCGTTGAGTTTAAAAGATGAATTCCAACAATGCTACACCGGAAAATGTAATGGAGTGGTTAGCAATTCAGGCATTCTTGGACGCACTTTGTGACTAAGAAACATCCCAAACATCTCGTGGATGCACTGGCAAGCGTTCTGGAGTTCAAGGCTGCAAAAGAATCCTACAATTACCAGAGCGAAACTCGAACTATCGAGAAAGATGGACGGGTGCCAGCTGATATTGAGGCCACCATTAGAGAGGTGATAAAAGAAGTGTTGCCTGAGAGAAAACAAATGAGATGCTGGAACTGTGGGAAAATTGAGCATGTGCGTAGCGAATGTCCAAACATTCAAAGAACCAATACCAAAGCAGAAAAACTGAAGGGGGTCAATCGTGGGTCTGTATCCAGCAAGCCCCCGTGAAAAACGCAGATGCCCTGTCACGGAGACCATGTCTCGATGATTGCTCACATTGCCGATGAGAAGAGAAGGAAGCAGCTATTTGTAGGACTATTTGTAGAACAATAAAATCAAGGAAGACCAAGAGAAAGACCCAGATCTTGGTTTAGTCACCGGATGGAAGAAATGTAATCAAAGACCATCGTGGCAAGAGGTAGTAGGCAATTCGCCAGCGGTTAAGTCCTACTGGGCCCAATGGAACTTCCTTACCTTAGAAAACGGGGTTCTGAAGCGGGTGTAGGAGTCTGAAGACGGTGGAGAAGAAAGGCGTCAGACAGTGGTACCCAGGAACAGACGACGGAAAGTGCTCAAAGAACACCTCGGGGAAAGCCAAGGTCGTCCATTTTCATAGACTGGCTCCTTATGCTGGAAATCACGACCAATTTCGCGCCCTCAGACCACCAGAGGATGAAATGACGTTCCAGAAGTTCATGTCTTTATACTTGAATGGACAGAAGGTCGTACATGGGGTAACTCAAGAAGAGTCACGAGACCTTTTCAAGGTTCCAGTTGATTACGCTCTAGCTCACTGCGTGGCAGAGGATCTCCTTGTGTCCAGGGGTATCGCTGTGGTATTCAACAAGAAATTTGGTCAGCTCCAAACATTACGAGAATCCAGAAGTAAAAGGAGTGCTACAGTTGAAGAAGGACCAGAGAAATTTTCGGTAAAATTCTAGTACCGATCCGACTACGATATAAGTCCGTCTTTCCGACCCAAGGGGGCAATTCAGAAAGTGAATCGAGCGGCTAAACAAGAAATTCAAATAGTGGAAATAAATTCAGCGTTGGTTGCTAAGTGTTGTTATAAATAAATTAGTTTGTGATTATTGAAATATTTTTGGAAATAAATTTAAGTAAGACAGTTAATTCATTAATTCCTCACATTATATTTATTTGAAGCCTGTATCGCTGATTCCTCTTATTCCCGATCGAAGGCAAACCGTGAAAAACCAAGATGAGTACTCCATCAAAATTACCGCATGAACGTAAGTGAAACATAAACGGAACCACACACACGTTTGGTTCACAAGTTTTTATGTCGGCGTTGGTGGTCTGATCGATGTTTAACACGTACCTAGAAATTTGGAAAGCTCTCCAGGAATACCAATAAAAAAATATTTTTTGGCAAAAAAGGAAGTTGTATGGATTTACTGACATTATGAATATAAAAACGAAATCTGTTTTGTTTAAAAAGAAATGTTTCAAATCTGTTTTTTTCGTTAACCAGCTGTCGCACCCTTACGAACGACAACCCTCAGAATTCGAAACTTGTGCGAGCCAAGGATTAACGAGGTCTTACCTTTCAACGTGTGATTGCTAACACGGGTTGGACGATAGCAAGTGAAAATCGATCGTTCAGACTAGGGCTTGAACCACCGATCAACACGGCAGTCAATTCGAGTGAGTGAACAAAGCACCCACGTCGAAACGCCTGGCTACCGACCGAAAAGTAATAAACATTTTGTGTGTAAATTTTTTCACAATTATTCATTATGATACCCAAGACGTCTAATTCCCTAAGGTTGAACAACAATTATTAGGAAGCAGCATTTCCCATTATCCACCATACTATGTCAAATTCTTGGATGTATCAAAAATCACTACCATATATTCCTCATATTTTTTGATAAAACCAATCATTTGTATGGCATTAGCTAGAAGATCTTCTGCTTCATCGTTAAATTTTACAGTTTCATCGTACAATTTTTCATTTATTTGCTTTTTGTTTTTCAGTCGTTTTGTAGCCAACGCCAAGATCATTGTCTCGAGGCATAAGTTTTTGAACAACTTTTTCCAAATCAAATGTATGAGAAGACTTTCTGAAATCATTTA